CGGGGCGCGCGGAGCGGGCGCCCGGACGCACGCACGGCGCGCTTTCGCCTTCAGCGGGTCCTGCCGGGTTCTCTCCACCACTTCCCAGCGAGGCGCCGGCTCGGGGTGGGCACCTTCTGCTCGCTGGACTGGAGGGGGGATTGCCACCGGTCCCCCGGGTGCTCCCGATGTGGCTCCGGGTTCATTCAGGGGCCGGAAAAGAATGGTAACATGAACGGTGGAGAGTGAGCGCGTCACCGGAGGAAGGGGAAGAGATTGATGGGCAGGGCGCTTACTTGGCGAAGGATCACATCCCTGGGACCGCGGGAAGAGGTCACTTGGCGTCGCCTTTCCTTCCTGGCTGGACTCTCCTGACATAGGTCGCCTGCTTCCACTGGGTTCTGGGCGGCGGAACCGCTGGCTGCAGGGCGCGCGAGGACGCTGGAGTTGGTGGCCCTGTGTCCACAGAGGAGTTCAGTGGCGGATCCCCTGTTTTTGGATCCCAGAGGAGCCCGCAGGCACGCTGGCTCTGGAGGGACTTGGACTTGAGTCCAGGTGGGTTATCCCAGGAGGATGTCCGGGGATGGCACAAGGAGGAAGGGGATGCTACCGTGTCAAAAGCTGACACTTGTCTTCCTGACACTTGAAGGGGCTGAGTCACTTCCTCCCGTGTAATCCTGAATTCAAGGGGGAGGGGGAGGGACTGCCCAGTGTCCTTTCAGTATCTTGCATGCGATGGACTTTCTCATAACTTATAATTAGTCTATGGAATGATCGCGTCTACTTCGTTGCTTTTTACGAGTGGAGGTGGATATGCTTAATGATTTCCTCCATCGGATCATGGACTTTTAAGCCAATAGCTAATGCCTTCGTCTTAGTTTTCTGGGGGAAAGTAACCGTGCGTTTGTTCTGCAGATGGCCAACTCCCTCTGAAGCCTGCAGATTGGTGCTGAGCAAGCCACCAAAGTTTGTAGCTTCTCCTCAGTTTCTGGGGCTTTCCAAGGCAGAGACAAGGACTTTGGCACTAAACACAAGAAGCAGTCAGGGGACCGTCTTTCTTAACTTTTCTCCTCTGTTATTTGCGATGAAGAGGAAACAGAAGAGGTTTCTGCAGATGACTTTGCTGTTCATGGTGGCTTTGATATTCCTGCCCAATATTGGTCTTTGGTCTCTGTACAAGGATAAGCACCTGGTGAAATCTACAGAGCCCGGGGAGCAGCAGGTAAGTAGTGCTCAGAAAGACCACAGGAGGATTGGTAAGACTTGTAGTCTCCGGGACATAAAGTAAGCAGGCTTGGGGTAGCATTGGGTTTTGATCCAAGTCTCTCTAACCAAGACTGTAGAGACTTCAGGGATTTAGCAAGTAGTTGTTTTAAGATCGCCTTCAATGACTTTGTGAAATGTTAAGTAGAGTTATGAAAGAAGAGGTCAAGAACAGGAGAGGGTGATCTCTTACAATTGTCTTAGGTTGCTTTGGGCTGGAGGTAAATAAAAGGTAACTGTTTATTGGTGAGATGCGAGTGGGTTTGGTGTAAGTTCTGTCATGAGCATTGCGTTTGTACTTTGAATCTAGTTTTTGTATGCATAGGACAGTGAATTAGTTCGATTAAATGTTACATGTTTGAACGTATTCTCAAAAATCCGACTCTGGTTTTCTATACAGTGTTTTCTTGGCAACAGATTTTCACTCTGTCAAAACTTAGTCTCTCATGGTGGTTATGAAGGTGGTCTTAGGAAGAATGTTCAGTTTTACAATCTGGTGATAACAGTTTGTTGCTAAAAGCTTTCTTTCACAATGGAAACAACATATATAGGGATATATATATTCAGTATGTAATTCATTAATATGTGTATCACTAATAACTTGGAATATATTAAAATAACTGTCTCTTAATGAACAATAATACAAAATATCCTTCAAAATTGTCGATGAAGCTCAATATTATATTGCTGAATTACTTGTTTATTGATATATATGATAACTATGTGCTTAAAATTTTAACAACAGAATATAGCCTTCTTCATGGTATTGATATAATACTTTTCAATTAGTCCTATGTATCACCTGGAGATATTAATATTCTTAATCTCAAGGGTCATCACCCATTACACTGTGTACTTTCCATTCATAGATTTGTTTAGGTAGTTCATTTCTAGACAATAACAATGTATATTAATAACAAAATTGTTCATAGATTAGATAGTTATGAACTATCTGGAAGTAATTTCATTTTTCATTATGTTTAAAGGTAACTAGTTGCTTATGGAGTTTTGATAGATTAGAATCCTGAGGGAAAATATTAATAAATCTACCTTTAATTATTTAATTCTATCATTCTTTATAATATAACTACCACTTTGGTTTGAAGTATATTCAATTCTGTCATGCTAGTAAAACAAAAAGATAGGCATTTGGGATGTGAAACTTTTTTTATCTTATATAGATCATTTATTTCCCCAATTCTTGGCTCTATTACTATTAGCAGTCAATACAGCATTGTATACAACTTCCACTCCAGTGTTGATCCAATCACAAAAGCAAAATTATTTCTCCTTGAGTTTTGCTAATTCAATTAACAAGGCTCGCTGAAGTATTTGCTGGTGTAGCGAACATAAACCACTAATGAATCTTATTAATGAGATCTTTACAACTTTTACCCTGGTTCTATTGATTTTGACCCTTAATGAGAAATTTGTTTGTCCAATGGCATGAAAAATAAAATGTGGCAATTCAATTCTCTGGCTTGTCATTACAATCTCCACAATGGTCTCCTTGGGTTGAGTTCTTCTGCAGTACAAATAAGACACGATGTTGGGGAATAAATTAAGGTGTGCGAGTGGCATGGGATTTCGAGTGAAGAAGGTGTTCTACAAAGTCTTGTGCACCCAGATCGAGTGATTCCAGTGAATATCTTGGGATATTCCAGTTGGACAATTTTACATGACAGAGTGAAACTGAGTGATGACGAGAAGCCGGCGAAGTGCCATGAAATGCATGTCAGTCATGCGGGTTCGTTTTCTTCTCTAAGTGTTGGGTTTCAAACTCTTACTCTCCTCAAACTAAACTATAGAGGCAGTAGACATTAGTTGGTGCCTGAGGAAAGGTAGACTCCATTCCTAAATAAAGTTAAGCTTCAAGTGGATTTATTCCAGTTGTAAATGTAATTGGAAAGAAAGGTAGAATATGTTGATGTCGTCATCTAAGTTTTGGATGTGAGGGTTAGCTCACAGAGAGGAGTGCCCAATAAGGCGGACTTACAGTCATTAACAGGCTTAATATTGTGATGTAATATTTTCTTCATGTATCTATAGTTCATCATCTCAGCCAGCTAAATGCACAGGTTTTCAAATGAAGTATATAATATGACTATTGGGTAATGTGTTGTTTAAATTAGTAATTTGTTTTTAAAGACATTCATAGTTAATTGTCAAACATTCCTCAAAAGCCATTTTTCCCTTGTGTTTATTTTTAAGGTGTAAAATGCTGAGGGTGAGAATATGTGTTGATTGATGCATTGACAGATATAAGTACTGATGCTATTCAAAATCAGTCACAATCATGTGCCCAAATGAGCTGTTTATTTTTTTACAGCAGTTAAGTGTAAAATAGCAGATCTAATGCTAGATTTACATACCAACTGCAGCATGGTCTGAGTGTGATGTGATATTCTTCACAGATGAGGAAACATTCACTCTCTAAACTAATTTAATTATTACAATGAGTTTACAGGAAGAAAATATGGAAATTCTAAGTATATTCATAGTTTGTATTCTATCAGAGCACATTTTAAAACCTTTTTCTACTATTTAGTAAAAAATATGTTTAATACTTTGGCTACTACTCAAGATAATTCATGTTTATAATTATGCAACTTAAGATAAACTGATAAGGAATGAAAGAAAAGGCACCTTTTTGGAAACTTGTGCATTATAAAGTAGCTTAGTATTTAACACATTTCTTAAGTCTACTTATTATTTTAAAATGTTTGAGTTTACTATAGTTTCACATGGAAAGTAGTGGTTATGGTAATTCTTTATTAATAATAACAATAATAATAATACTCAGCTGCCCTCCTCTGACCAAAAAAAATGAAGAAAATTCTTCTGAAGTTTGTCTAAGTGTTTTTTTCCTTTTCCTTTCATAAAAATAAAGAGAATTGATAACTTGGTTCTAATGACACAATGCAATTCTAAGTCATTAGTTTATTCTTTTTTTCCTTTCCATAATTTGAGCTTTTCAAATTTGAAATCAAATCCTCTTAATAAATATTAAGCTAGTGATACTTTAAAGCTTTATAAGATAAAGAAAAGCTTAAGTTATACCATAACATTATTTAAAAGTTAATATTATTACAATATTTTGCAGTTGAATTAATATTTTTTTGAGAAGGCGTAAGGAGCTCACTTATGCTACTTAGAAAAATATAAGTCTATTTTAAAATAATAGTTTGAAATGAGTATGATATAGAGATTGAGAATAATGGCTGTTTTATTTGTAGTAATTCTTAATTTTACTTAAAAAAATAAGTGTGTATATTGATTTTCTTCTCTAGCTTTAGCTGTGTTTGAATTAAAGCCCAGTTACACATTTAAGTATGATACTGTGCTTTAGAAATATGTATAGAAGAAGGTAAAATTTTAGAACAAAAAATGTATGATCAACATGATTATAACTTTTTTCCCTAATCATTTCTTAAGGTGTATGAAGTAAAAAAATACTTTCACTTTCCCATATCCATTAAAGAGTTAACCAGAAGCAGAAGCAGAGCTGCTGCAAGTAGTCTAGCAGACAAATTGCAAATGATAAGAGTTTTCAAAATAATTCCCCAATATTGAGAATACTTGTATGAAGAGCAAGTTCTGACACAAAATGAGAGTCAGCATCCCACACTTTTAAATCAGACATTTTAAGAATTACTCAGAAAGAGTCAGGAACTTATGTTTAGAATGTTTTTTTCCTGCCATATTGAAAAACTAAACACCACAAAACCAACAACTACTAGGCACTGGTTACATTGGCAATGTCTTATTTCTTTCTACAGAAAGACCTTTGAGAGCCGGAACTAGATAGGCTTGCCTTGTTTTCCTTTCTTTTTTCCCCTGGGCCATGCCAGCTTTCCACCTTTTACAGGGTATGGCTTTACCTTTTTTCTATCGCTCTCTATGGGTACTACTGAGCTGAGTTTTCCTTCTCAGATGGATTTGTGCCTTCCACAGGTTTTGCTGTACTCCAAAATTTTTATTTATAAAACAGGGCTAATTCAGCTTACCATATTTAAAATATCTGAAGTCATGAGATCACTTCTTGAAGATGAAACATATTGTGAGGTAATGTTTTGTTTTTAGTTAGATCCAAATGTGATCCACACTTGACAAACGAGTGATGTACTCTCTTAGGAAAAAGAAACAAACAAATACTATAAGGTCAAAGAGGTTCCTCAGCATCATTAGCCAAGTGTTCTGGTGTTAATCGGCCTCATGCATTTAGAAAATTCTCCCTTTTGGTTAAGAGGATTCTTTCTACAGCATTTTGCATTTGCTTTATGAAGTGAAAATGTCAGATAATTGGTTCTCAGTAAAAGCACAGGACCTCCTGGTTTCCTTTGTCATAGATACCAAGAAGGCTGCCAACCCATTAGCATGTCCATATTCTTCTTTTGGAAAACACTTCAGATACTGGAAGATCTAAAAGCAAGAGAAAATTAAGGTTTCCCCCTTTCCTGCACTCAAATGCGTATTAGCACTCTCGATTTGGAATGATGTGTTGATTTGACCCCTACTGTTCTTAAGATGCAGCTATTAAATTGGGGTTTAAAAGAACTTTTCTAGAGTTTATGGAAAATCCATTCAGAATTGCTACAGGATCATAACTCACAAACCACTGTAACAAGTGTCTTAATGTTTTGCTGTGACCTAGTAGATTTCTATGAACAGTTCATCACCTTGCTCCATGGGAGAGAGAGAGTGAAATACAGTCTTCTCTTCACACTCTAGTTAGAGAGAGAAAGAGAGAGAGAGAGAGAGAGAGAGATCTTTTCCTGCTCATTGCTGAGTTGAACAGCTGTGCTGAATCAATTAGTGGCCTATAATCCCCCCGCCCGCCCCCCACAACTAGGGAAGCTGAAAGGAAAAATGATGAGAAGATTGAGTGACTTAAGTGATGTAGAGAAGAGGATAATACTTTTTAAAAAACAGTTTTATTGATAGTAAATATGACAATTT